TATAAAATTAAAGTATCACCTTATTAATTGATTAGACTCAATATTATTTTTAGTGCAATTTTTTATTGGCTAAGTATGTTTATTGTGGCGTAACTATTTTTTAATCATCAATTACTTAAAATCAATTTATTAGTCTCGTAACCTATTTTTAATAGATCAGCTTTTATATTAGAAAAAATTCTGTTATTATTATTGAATATAGTATTTCTGATGATAGTGATGATGATGATAATGATGATCTGGATAACAGTGATCTCAATTATATTGAAGGAAATCTGAATGAATCTTATTCATCCAGTGGTTTTGGTATACAGGAAATGAAAGATGTATATGATGATCCCGAAAAACCTATTGTTGATTTTAATGAAAGTCTTAACTGGATTGTCTTGTGAATTTTGTTATATCAAGAGAGGTATAAGCTATCTGTTATTGCTACTGATTTTTTGATTAAATTTTTTAGATATCTTTTGATTCTTCTGAACGCAAACACATATAATGCTTTTCCTACATCACTATATATAGCACAAAAAATACTCAGCATAAGTACTCATATCATAAAATATGCAGCATGTGAAAAATGCTATAAATTATATAATATAGCAGAGATATCAACTGCTAAGTCTACTCAATCTCCAGTTAAAAGCCATTGTACTTATATCGATTTACTAAACCATCTAATGGCAAATCAAAGAAAAGAATGTATAGCAAAACTTATCAAAACGGTTCACACTATAGATAAAGCATTATATCAGCCTTCTTTAATATATCTAATGGTTAATTTAAAATACCAATTACAATTGATGTATAATCAAAAAGGATTTAAGGAATCATGCAGGAAATTGGCAGATCGGGATAGTAATCCTCAATATTTAAATGATATTTACAATGGAAGTGTTTGAAAAACATCTGGGACTAAAACCAAATATACCATTTTTTCAGAAAGAAGTAACTAATAGATATCTGGGAATTATGCTAAATATCAATTAGTTTCAGCCATTCGATGATACCAATTATAGTGTAAAAGCTGTGTATGGTGTAATATGCAACCTTTCACAAAGTGAAAGGTTCAAGCCATCAAATGTTTTAATAATAGTTTTAATCTCTAGTCCAAATGAGCTAAGCTTATACTATATAAATCATTATTTAGGTCTGATAGTCAATCAATTTATTGAATTATGGAATGGGATTGAACTATCAGCAATATATAAAAGTACTAATAAGCCTATTAGAGTTGCAGTAATATATACTATTCTTGTAATATTCTAGCTAAAAGAAGCTCTGCGATTATATATCTGCACACGTGGCTTGTCATAGATGTTTAAAAAAGACACAATTTGATGATTGTAATCAATTAAATTTTAGTGAATTTGACGATATTAATAAATGGTTTGTTGAAAGGGATATTGATCAAGTTCGAAAAAATGCACAAGAATGGTTGGACTGTAATTAGTGATACCTGACTAAACTCTTTTTTGAAAAATTGTAATTTCATCAAAAGTTTCATCTCTTTAATATTTTTATATGAATAAATATAAAATTATTATATTTTTTAATGTATTTTAATTCAAGAAATTTAGATCAAGTTAAATATAATTAAGTAAAATAATTTCATTATTAATAAAAAACTAGTTTTGTCATTTTAGTTTAGTCAATTTCATCATATTAAGTATCACTAGCTATAATACTAAAGATGCTAGAATTATACATGTATATAATACTTCAATGCGTTGGTCTGAAATATACCATCTCACATATTTTGATTCAGTCTGATTTCTCATTGTTGATCCTATACATTATTTGTTTCTAGGTATCGCAAAATAGATCATAACACGATTGTAGATTGAAGAATGTTGATTAAAATAAGATGATTTTAAAATAATGCAAAATAGGGCTAAGCTAATAAAAGTTCTAGCAGATATTAGCAGGATTCCATATAGAATTAATACAGAAGAGGGATTCTCGGGTTTTATCATAGATCAGTAGAAAACCTTTATCCTTGTAATTTTGTTCGTGTATACAATATTCTTGTATGCAGAACTGTATCTAACAATGGGTTAGAAGATGCTTACGAATGACTCTTAATAATGGTAAAGCTTATTGAGAAGAATTATGGTCCAGAAAAAATTTTACCGAATCTACATTTATGTCTACACATTTGCTATTATGCTTTAGATTATGGTCCGTTATATGCATTTTGATACTTTAGTTATGAAAGAATGAATGGATTATTAGGTAATTATAATACTTCTATCAAATTTACTGATATTTACTTCATATTTATTAAATTATTTTATATTTAAGGCTCATACCTTACCAGTAACAGAAAAATTGAGCCAGAATTATTAAAACCATTCAATATAATTTACTGCTTGACCAGTTTTCTTTATATACTCGGAACCATCAACATTTATTGACTTGTTTACCTTTGATAATGCGAAAAGAGACTATTAGTAGTCTTACAGTTCAAGATGAACTCGATGGAATAGACTATTGTGAATTTTTATCAATGTCTAAAAACATTGAGAAAATAGCTAGAACAAGTTCAGAATCCTTTCCAGTTACTTTTTTTAATCCTAAAAGAATAAATACAGACCTATCAAAAGAAATATTAGATTTGTTGGTTGAATATTATTGCAATGCCTATAACAAAGATTTTGTAGTATTATCAAACATTCACATTGCTAATCTAGAAGCTATACCAGTATTTTTAAAGGTGAATATTTACGGGTAATTATGACTTGGCTCTGAAGTTTTCAGATCATCATACTCTAAAAAGCACATTTGATCATCTAAAATTCTATCTCAATTCATACACATAAATACTAAAGAAATTTATCCTGGAATTGTTTAATATTATTTTAACTATACTGTATATTTTTCAGGAGAATCTAAGAATCATTCATTGGTATTTGTAAGGTGGTATCTTCCAGCAGAGGATCATAAAACTAGATTTCACTGCAAAATCAATGGCGATGACAATTCTTGCAATATTGAACTATGGAAAAAAATGTTACGACCTTAGTAGAGATTGTATAATTTTAATATATAGTATATTGAGTTAATTTGTTAAAGGTTTTTTTATAATAGGCAAAAGGAAATACATGTCAGTGATACCGATTAATAGAAAGATTTATATTTAATATGTCATACTGCATCATGCAATATTTATAATTAATACAATAAACAAATAATTAAATCGTAATATTTATTTGAACTAATATGTTTATTTTTTTCTGTTTTTAATAAAGAAAAATTCATACGATTTTTCTTCAAAATTAAAATTTCAGTTATTTAAATAAATTATTGATATATCAATAAATTATCGCAAAATCATTAATATATTGTATAACTATTAGAATATTAGAAGGTATATAATTTATTATATATTATCTTTGGTATATCTTTAAAATAGTCAGTCTTTTATAGTGTAAAAGCTATAGGTTTATCAGGATTCTGATTATTAACTAATAAAAAAATACCAGTTAGTTAAGAATCAGTACTGATTTAATCCTGATTCTTAACTGGTTGATACTATTCTGATTCTTCATTATTCAACCTGTGCAGATAGCTTTTGAATCATAATTAATATTAGCTTTGTTTAATTCTATTCCATTTTAATCTGATCTGATTTTCATAAAATTATTTTGACTAATAAATAAATAACAAGAATTAAATAGATAATGTTAAGTTAATCTGGTTCATTTTTAAATTTTTAACCACTTTACAGAAACCCTTAAAATTCTAATAATATCAATTTAATATTACAATAATATCATTTTGATGTTGAATTGATATTATTACAATTATACATAAAGTCGAAATGAAAACCTAAAGTCGAAATGAAAAGTCGAAATGGTCGAAATTATGTCATATTACATGATTTTTTATATATAAAAAAAACAAAAAAAAACAAAAGATGTACGATCTCGGTCAATATCGCTCTTATTCGTATGAATCAACCACCATTCGATTCCCCTCGACTAGACGAATCCAATGAGCTAACATTCATTGATTTTGGATCATCCCATCTCGAGATATTTGCGATCGTATTTCG